GACAGGAATAAAGATGCAGACACAGAGAATGGACTTGAGGACACGGGGAGAGGAAGGGTAAGCTGGGACGAAGTGAGAGAGTAACACTGATATATATACACTACCAAATGTAAAACAGATAGCTAGTGGGAAGCAGCTGCATAGCACAGAGATCAGCTCGGTGCTTTGTGAACACCTAGAGGGGTGGGATAGGGAGGGTGGGAGGGAGGCTCAAGAGGAAGGGGTTATGAGGATATGGGGATATATGTATACATATAGCTGATTCACTTTGTGATACAGCAGAAACTAACACAACTTTGTAAAGCAATTATACGTCAATAAAGATGTTAAAAGAAAAAAAACTAGTGCATATTCTTTTGGGCCTTGATGTGATTTTTTTTTAAAGAACAATGTTGCCACCTAGTGGAGAAATAAATTTCAGCCCTTTGAAATGGGTGGTGGGCCAGGAAAACTTAAAATTCAAAGGCAAAAGATACTGGCTAATGGGAAAAAATAAGACGGTTATGTGGAATCCCAAATATGGAAAAATTAAGGCAGATGTGGGGCCCATGAATTTAAAAAAAGGGAGGAAAATTAATTATACTGTGCTATAGGATTATACAAATTTAAAAGAGGCCAATTAAGTTTAGCTTATCAAAAGGTATTCAAAGCATAAATTTAAAGAAAAAATTATTTTCATTACCTGATTAACAAAAGGAGCATACATTGGTAGGTTGCAATTAATATTTTTTAAATAATTTGTTTTAGTCTTTCTTCTTTTGACAAAGTGATAATACCCATTTCAGCAAATTTAGCTGATAAGAGAAAATGAAAAACCCTCCCCTCACAACTATATTACTTAAAGATAACCATTGTTAATATTTTGGTATATTGTCTTTAGTTTTTCCACCTCTGCTATGTATAAATATATTTTAAAGTATCTACAATATATGCTATTTTTACAAAAATGAGGTTATGATGTACAAATTGTTTGTTAACCTGATTTTTTCACTTTACATATTGTGAACATTTTTCAATGCCATTATGTATTTTTCTATAAAACCTTTTGACTACATGCATGGAATTTCATTGGGTAGATATATCATGATTTACTAATCGGTCCCTTGTTGTTGGACATTTGGACTTTTTTCTAATTTTTCACTATTATAAACTGAGGAACATCTAAGTAACAAAGTATTTTTCTATATTTTTAATTAGTTTTTAGGATAACTTCCTAGAAGTTATAGTGAAATTTATAGGTTAAATTAGAACATGAACTTTTAAGGTTTTTCATATGCATTGCCTAATTATCTTTCAAAATATTTATTTATTAATTTATAGATTTTTGGGAACCCCAATGGCAATTGAAAGGTCCACCCCCCCATCCCACTGGCATGGTAGACATTTCCACAAATTTATATATTGACATTAATTGTGAAAGTCTTTGACAATATGAGGCCATTTTTTAAAATTGTATAAAAAATACAGGAAGAAAGAAGAACATCTGAAATCATATGATATGGATCAAATGAAGATTTAATACTGTTAGGGCAGAGATCACAGGAAGGAAAATTGTGAAGTATAAGGGAAGACAATATTAGACATAAAATAACTAACCTCTGTATTAAATGGTTACTATTCTAAGTATTTTGTGTGTACTATTTGTTATTTAATCTTTGTCACACCTCTATGAGAATAGCTACTATTATTATCCTCTTTTTACCCTGGAGATTTGAGACTTAGAGAAGATAAGTGATTTGCCCAAACAGCTGGTAAGTCAGAGAGGTAACAGTTGAACTCTGGTCTGTGTGATGGAAAGCTCTTCTCTACTGCCTTTTTTTGTGGCATGAATATTAGATTGAGTGTGCCGATTTCAATCTGATTGGTTCTTGCCAGTATATATAGCCTTCAGGATCATAGCTTTAAGTTAGCTCAATTCTCTTTGCCTGGAAGAATTTTATGTCCTTTTTATTCTATGTAGTTTTAGAGGATAGAAGGATCTGTCTATGGGAATCACAGGGAGATCCTTTTTAGATACTAGGAAGAATTTTCTAAAAATGGGAACTCTTAAAAGGGCAGCCTAGTGAATTAATAGGATTTGATTAGTGATACTTCTGTCTCTAGATATTTTTCTCATAGAAGAGATTCCTATATTAAGTGGGAGATTTGTATAGTCTGACTCCTAAGATTCCTGGTAATTCTAAAATATTATGATTCTGTAAGTCCACATGTTTAAAAGGAAGATATCTGGGGGGGGAATGAATATGATAATAACTTATCTGAATGTTCTGAAAACTGTTATTCATGAAAAGCTTTTTAGAAACTCAATACTGATCTTGTAAATCTATAGACGATTATGAGAAGTATGTTACTCAGAGGGAGGGCATGGAGTTTTTCTGTGTGTTCAGGATTAAGAGGTAATGTATAACAGAAAATATTTCTTGACTGAGAATTTTCCAGGAATATGCCCCAATCCACCCCATTTCCTACTGACCATTCTTTTTTTCATTATTTTAATTTTAGCTGAAGGAGGACTTAAGGAACATAGAGCAGAAACATCAGGAGACTCTTAGGAGATTGGAAGGCAGGTTTTTGGAAGAAAAGGTACAGCATATTTGCATTAATAAATAAATATATTGTGTACTAAAACGATGTAAGTATATTTATATGTATTCTGAGACATCAACTTTTCATTTGGTATCTTATTAGAAGATTATCTTTTTCCCCCCTCTTAGTTAGAGATTCTTGAAATCAAGAGAGATTGTCATCTGACCAAGGCTTCAGGACACATCCCCCACCCCAGCTTGGTGTCTCCTGGTGGAACTAAAGCTCCATGTACCACTTTTTGTAGGGGAGATGGGATTAGAGAGGTTGCTCCGATACACGTGAAGGTCTTCCCTTAGTCAAGCCAACTAAGGATATTAATAAAAGGGGCTCAGGACTTCCCTGGTGGCGCAGTGGTGTAGAATCCGCCTGCCAGTGCAGGGGACACGGGTTCGAGCCCTGGTACGGGAAGATCTCACATGCCATGGAGCAACTAAGCCTGTGCGCCACAACTACTGAGCCTGCACTCTAAAGCCCACGAGCCACAACTACTGAAACCCGTGCGCCTAGAGCCCGTGCTCTGCAACAAGAGAAGCCACCACAGTGAGAAGCCCGCGCACTGCAACAAAGAGTAGCCCCTGTGTGCACAGCAACGAAGACCCAAAGCAGCCATAAATAAATAAATAAATAAAAAGGGGGCTCAAAAATGTTCCTTAGCACGTCACAAACTTCCACATTTCTCTGTGCTTCTAAAGTTAATTCTCAGAGTCCCCCGGGTTTTTCTTTAATTCTTTTAATATTTTCTTTAATTTTTCATCCTTAGGAAAGAAATGAATAAATTTTTTCACAAATTGGTGGGAATGTAGGGAAGTGAGCGTGAGGCAAATCAGTACTCATATCAGGTTTATATAAAAGGATTTGCTTTCAAAAGTGGCTCTAGGTTTCCAGTTTGTGTATTGAATAACATGGGAGTGAGGCAGGAGCAGTATCTAGACGCTTTCCCCCTCAGGCACTTCCTGGCACTGTTAGGAATGGAAGTGCTCAGGAATGGGCTGCTCTCAGCTGCCTCTTTCCTCACTCCACCCTACACTTGATCTCTCTCCTACTTGGTGTAACATTCCACAAACAAATGTTAGAAGTGCTTGGTCAGTTTACAGATTACTTGAATGACAGTGCTTATATAAATAGGATTTTTATGTCTGGAAGTAGGTGGCTGCTGGCCTTTCCCTCATAATTGCAAGATGGTTAATGCAGCTCTGAGAGTCATCTCTCTTAGGGCAGGAAGAAGGGAGGCTCCATCTGTATCTGTTCCTTTTATCTGGAAACCATGAAACTTTCCCCAGAAGCTCTTAGCAGATTTCTTCTTACATCTCTCTGATTGTCCAGAACCATGTTATAATGGACACCAGGGAAAAGGGGTGTTTTGTTTCTCCAGCCACTAGTGGAAGCTGGGAAGGAAAAAGGAGGATGAGAATGAGTGTTGGGTTGTCCAGCCACAGCAGTGTCTGCCTTACCATGTGAGGTACAGACTTCATGGTTAGATACAAACTCCTATACTGGTTTGAGCCCCAGTGCTGCTGGTCCATGGCAGTGGGCTTTCTAGTAAGCCCTGTTCATTCATCTCATACCTCAGCATGTTCCACCTGGTCATATAAAGGACTTCCCTCAGGTTATTAGTATTTTGTTGTGTTTTCCCATTTAATCCTTTCTGTTCCTTGAACCACCAAACCCTTCCCCACCTGCATATTTTTGTACTTGCTATTCTCTCTTCCTGAAATGTTCTTATTGCAGTTCTGGCTTATTCTCATTCTTCAGAGCTCAAATGTCATCCCCTCAAAGAGATAATCCCTAAACCCAATCTAAAATTACCTCCTTCAGTTACTATCTATTTCATTACCCCATTTATTCCATTTATAGCATTTATCACACTCTATTAATTCTCTTATTTGTTTACTTGCTGGGAGGCTGTATAGCATCAAATTGCCTGCGTATGAATCCCTGCTCTGCCATTTACTAGCTATATGATTTTGGACAAGTCACTAACCTTTCTTTCAGTTTCTTCAATCCTTGTCTTTGGAGACAATAATAGTACCTAATTCATAGGTATCTAATTACATTGTTGTGAGCAGTAAATAATACATGTGTAGAACCATGCCTGGCACATAGTAAATGCTCAATGCATTTTAATTATTATTGTTGTTTGGATCTCATCCTAGAATATAAGATCCATGAGAACAGGCGCCTTATCTGTATGTTCACCACAGCATCTCTAGTATCTAAAAAATCTGTTACACTATTAGTACTCAATAGGAATTTGTTGAATGAATGAATAAATGATTCTCATCACATTGTATTTAACAGAAATTTCTCCCAGCTCTGCTTTCCAGGTCTGATGTGGAATTTTTTTCTATTTATATGTCATTTTGCTTTTTTAATGGTGAAATTGGGAAGTACCCTAAAGTCCCTGTGTTCACACTATCCTCTTTGCTGGCTCCCCCACTGATACTTGGAGCACTTCACATCAGGTCATGTGGACAGGAGTATTTTATTTGACATTGTAAAATAAATACTTAACTTTTTATGTGTAAAATTTGTTGTCAGAAATATAACTGTATTAAAACAGCCTATTTTCTTTTTTAGCACCGACTAGAAAAAGAGGCTGAGAAGAAGATAATAATGCTGGCAGACAGAGCCCACCATGAAGCTGTTGTGTAGGAGATCGCTGCCTCTTTTTTCTTTCTAATAGCCTCTCTTACCTCTTTGCTAGTCTTTTTTGTTCTTATCATGTTTTCTACCCCCTTCTCTCTTGGTCTGCTTTCTTCAAATTTTCTGGTTTACTTTCCTTCACTGTTTCTTTCTCTCTGTGTACCCACCCCTTTTCCATCCACCCTTTTTGTAGCAGCATAGTGTGGAGAAAAGAACCTGGGCTTCGAAGTTACACTTTGGTTCTCAACATGTATACTAACTGACTGTAAGAAGATGTCTTAACTTTTTTGAAATTAAATTTCTTCATCTAAAAATGGTGTTAATAATGGCAACTGTGCACAGTTGTCATGAAGTATATTAGTGAAAGTAACACTAAACTGCACTGTGTTAATAAACTAAGTCTCCATGGTTTATTTCTAATCTAATGTGGGTCTGACAGCTCTACTCCAGGGGTGATTCAGGAACCTGGGCTGCTTCCATCTTGTTCTTCATGTCCAGTCACATGTACAAAGAGAGAGCATGGGAAACTCATACCTGCCCTTAATTGCCTTGGACTGGAAGTAACACGTCCCTTTTTACTTTCCTGTTGGTGAGAACTTAGTTCTCAAGATCCCCACCTAACTATTGAGTACCCACCATAAGCTAAATAAGTGCTGGTCATTATTATTTTTTAAAATTATTGATTTTAATTTTTTTTGGTTGCCCCATGCAGCTTGCGGGATCTTAGTTCCCTGACCAGGGATTGAACCCGGGTGGGCCACGTCAGTGAAATTGCCAAGTCCTAACCACTGGACCACAAGGGAATTCCGGATGATCATTATTATTAATGTTAGGGGATTTAGCAGTCATTGTTCTAGTTTGGTAATATTTAAAACTTAGGTCTGTGTTTTGGGATCTTATATCTATCTATTTCAGGCAATTGAACAATGCTGGAAGAGCTGTTTTTAAAGAGAATATTTATCTCCAGAAAGCTCTCGCATACCACCTGAAGGAAGCTGATGCTCTACAAAAAAACTCTCAGAAGTTGCAAGAGACTCAAACTTTCCTTTTACAGCAAAAGGTTCATTTTGATTTTGTTTCCTTTTTTTGTAAAGATTGGGTTGGTGAATACTAAGAATTGAGTATAGTAGTGATGCATAAGGACAATAGGACAATTTTTCTTCTGTCTGGATGGTGTATTTTTCTTATCTGAAAAGTTAATTACTGAATGACTTATAAGAAACTTTAGACTTGGCTTTATAAAGAATAAATCCGAAACATAAATATAACTCCTGTCCTCTACTACCTTAGTATTAATTTTACTTTGCTTAGAGTTGGTCTCTGAATCACTTAGGAACTGTGACAACTGTGACAACAATGGTTTCCCCATGTGAGGTGTATTCTCTCCCTAAAGGAAGTCTGGAGGTAAGCAATCCAGAGCTGGAATGGTAGTGCTACAAATTCGGCAGACACTCAGGCTCCTCAACTTTGTTCTGCAACATATGGCTTTATCTCCTCAGAGTCACCTCATGGCCCCCAGCAGCTGCTGGAGCTCTAACAACAGGGCGGAAGAAGGGCAAGAAGGAAAACAGCATGCCCCTCCCTTTAGAGCTCTTCCTGGAAGTCCTATACAAATTTCTACTCGCAGCTCTTCCATCAGAGCTTAGTCACGTGGCTTTGATGAACACAAGGGAAACTGGGAATTTTCAGCTGGGCTTACTACCTTTCTGAATGAAATTGGGGTTTTATTATGAAGGAGGAAATGGAAAATGGACACTAGGATAGGCATCTAGCAGATTGCCACAGTTTGCAGTATATAGTTGTTAAATTACTGTTTTACTGTACAGTCTTATTGATTTTGGAATATTTTTTTGATAATACATTGAACTTTTCATAATTTTAGAGGAAGGAAAGTTTCTTAATTAGCAAAATCTGTGGCCTTCCTAAGTCCAGGCAGGGACTCTTGACCGTTTCTTACTCTTTATGCACAGAATACCAAAATGTCACCATTGCAACCTGGCCTCAAACTCAAATCTCATGAAGTAATGGATATTAGCGAGGAACTTTTAAGTTTTGAAATTAATTTTTTAAAAAAATCTCTCACCTCTCCATCTTTCTGTTTTAGGAAATCAATGATCTGTTGGTTAAGGAAAAGATAATGCAGCTTACCCAGCAGAGATTACAAATCCAGAGTCTTCAGAAGAAGGTAGTAAGCTTGGAGACTGCCCTGAGTTGTATGACCAAAGAGTTTGAGACTGAAGTTTTAAAACTGCAGCAGCAGGCAATGGTAGAGAACCAAGCGGGTCAGATTGAAATTTTCAAGCTGCAGCATCTTCTTCAGATGAAGGACAAGGAAATGAATCGAGTAAAGAAGCTGGCCAAGAACATACTAGATGAAAGAACAGAAGTGGAAAGATTCTTTTTAGATGCTCTACACCAAGTAAAGCAACAGATCCTATTTAGCAGAAAGCATTATAAACAGGTAGCACAAGCTGCTTTCAATTTTAAAATGAGAGAGGCATGTGCAGGAAGAACAGAATATCCCAAAATCCGAACATTTGATGGCAGAGAGCACAGCACCAACAGTGTGAATCAGGATCTTATGGAGGCCGATAAATGGTACTAATAATGCTTTAATATTTTGCCTTTGTACTGCTCTTCTTGTGCCCTTTAGAGAAATAAAAACCCTGAAAAGTTCAGTTTGGTAATATCTAAGTATTGACTAGATTACTCAGTAAGTTACTTGAGGAGAGGTTCCTGAACTGTCTTACTCATCTTTGTAACCCCTATGCTTAGCATACTGTGTGGGGCTTAGTAGGTATTCTCAGTAGATGTCCCCCCTTTTTTGTGTGACAGAGACTTGTTAAAGGGATTATTTGTTCCATTTTGAATATCATTGTAATATCTTTTAACATGTTCCTTTATTTTGTTATAAAGGTTTGATTAGATTCAGGTTAAACATTTTTTTTTTTTTTTTTTTTTGTGGTACGCGGCTTCTCACTGTTGTGGCCTCTCCCCTTGTGGAGCACAGGCTCTGGACGCGCAGGCTCAGCGGCCATGGCTCATGGGCCCAGCCGCTGCGCGGCATGTGGGATCTTCCCGGATCGGGGCATGAACCCATGTCCCCTACATCGGCAGGCGGACTCTCAACCACTGCGCCACCAGGGAAGCCCTCAGGTTAAACATTTTTGATAAACATGCTTTTCACAAATATTTTGTAATGTTCCCTTTACTATTCTGAGATGAAATTCATAGGTAATAATATCTAATCAAACCTATAATTAAAAAAATCAATATAACAATTCTTTGCAGCAACTCTTTGTTGTACGGAACTGCCCTATGGATTGGAGGACACCCGGTAGTGCCCCCTCCATCATTGTATTAACCAAAAGTCCCCACAAGGCTTTAAAATACACTAGAGATCTACTGCCACCATGATAAAAGTAGTAGAATGATTGAGACATTTGTAGACTATATACAATTGTTGTTTCCTGTTAGCATTTTAATCTGTTTGAATACTTTTCTCCCTATAAACCATGGATTAAATTATAATGCATTTTAAAGATTATTCTGAAAAAATTGTTTTATATCTCAACACGATTAGATTCTTCAAAGGTCTTAAGAAACTTAAAACGACTCCCTACTACTATGACTTAACATCTTATTGAGAGGGCTTCCAAATGTGTTTTCTGTTTTAAATTATTTTTAATAGGCTAATATGTAGGTTCTTTTAAATTGTATAGCTGTTGGGAAGGTTGGACATGGCCAATGACTCTTCTTCAAAAATTTCCATACTATAGTTTTTTTACCTTCTTGCCATATTCAGAAGTCTGTTAATAACACTATTACTATTATTCTATTATAATAATAGTTATTATGATAACTATTACCAAGAGATTCACTTTATTTATTTATTTTTAATTAATTTATTTATTTTTTGCGGTACGTGGGCCTCTCACTGCCGTGGCCTCTCCTGTTGTGGAGCACAGGCTCCGGACGGGCAGGCTCAGCGGCCATGGCCCATGGGCCCAGCCGCTCCGCAGCATGTGGGATCCTCCCGGACCGGGGCACGAACCCGTGTCCCCTGTATTGGCAGGTGGACTCCCAACCACTGCGCCACCAGGGAAGCCCCACTTTATTTTTTAATTTAATAAGTCAAGCAAGTTGAGTCCCCACCATACAGAAGGCAGTTTCTTTTACATTTTTAAAATCTACTGTATATTAAGTGGTATATAAGTTTTCAGAAGAAGGTGCATAAAATGATTCTCCACATTGTTGTTGCAGAAACTGGACACTTCCCTATTCTGCCTCATGAGCAACTTATCACTTTAATCCTAGTGTTCAATAGGATTTCTTCCAGGAAGGCAGAAATTGTAGTTAAAATATTACATTATCTGCTTAAGAGGCAGATTGGGGAAGGACAATTAAAGTATATGGTGATTATAAGGCAAAACCTAAACTTAAAACTAACCCAATTGACATATATGAAAAAATATTTCTTACATTTTACATCAATACCCTATCTACATGTCAGCCAACTTCTGTAAATAGCCAAGTAGACTATGAATCCTTTGGAAAAGTTATGGTATAGATAAATACCTTCCTGGAAGGCTTAGCTGCCTCTTAAGCAGATAATGATACATACAAAGACAAAACGTACAAGAAAAAAACAGTTGTTTGATGAAATTATTTGGAGGTAAGAAATAGACTAGATAAGTTACATGTTATTTTATATATTTACCTCTTATCACTCTATTTTCATAGCAAAATATCTAATACTAAAGACTTGCTAAAAAGGAATTTATCAGTAATTTCACCAAACAACTGTTTTTTTTCTTGTACCTTTTGTCTTTGTGTTATCTGGATACATAATATTGCATTACAACTTTATTTTTTGCTTATTTGTTTAATGTTTGAGCACAGAGTTTTTCATGTTGTTATAGTTTTTCTTATTTTCAGTTTAATGACAACATAACACTTCAAATTGGCTACCATGTTAATGTGCTTTTCAAATTTATGATTTTGTCATGGACATGGTTTGCTTTGTAGTCATTCCATTTGGAAACCTCATAATATTCAGTTATGATTAAGAAATTTTCTCATGTTTACATATTTTATATTTCTTAAAAAGAAGAGATGCTTACTTTGACCATTTATTTTTCATTTTTTTCTTTGAAATTCTTTAGGACAGATATTCAAGGAAATATGGACATTGGAGATTTGACCTGGGAGCAGAAAGAGAAAGTCTTGAGGTTGCTCTTTGCAAAAATGAATGGCTTTGTTCCTAGGTAACTCCCTATTTCAGTAGTGAAATACCAATTTGCTACCAAACCTAGAGGCCATATAGGAAAAGTGAACATATTCTTACTTAGAATTAAGGGAATGGAAAAGGACCAGAAAATATTAATATAAAAGGGTCATACTGCTTAGCTACTGCAACTCCCAGAGATAAAGAATGGGAGATGTGTAAGTGAGCACAAAAATGAAAGAGGTATTAAAGGGGAAAGAAAATCGATCAATCTTAGGTGTTTAAGGTAATGCTTCCTGAGAAGGTATAACATTGTTCAGCTGAATGAGTGGTAACTAAAGAGAAGCATAACAAATGTTAAGATTTTATTGGTCTGCAAAGATAAGTAAATTATTTTAAAGCTGATTATTAATCAAGGGGATCTCTAATACCAAGAAAAAGACCTGGAAAGGAAAATAGAAATCCACAGGTACTCCAAATAATTATTTTTAATGATTAGTTTCACTCTCTTCATTATGTTTTATCAATGACTATAACCCTGGTTATAGTCACTTTATAGTAACTATAAAGTGGATAAAATAAATCAACCACTTACTGATTGCTTGTTTTTTTTTTTTTTTAATGGGGTGGGGGGGTTACTGGATTTGAATTTCTGAAGCTGTATCTCAGGCTCCTTATAAATCTTTCATTTATTTATTTATTTAGACATTTATTGGCCTTATACTTCTTGAAGTTTTTTGTCCCCTGAATATTTTAATTAATTAATTTATTTTTGCTGTGTTGGGTCTTCGTTTCTGTGCGAGGGCTTTCTCTAGTTGTGGCAAGTGGGGGCCACTCTTCATCGCGGTGCGCGGGCCTGTCTCTATCGCAGCCTCTCTTGTTGCGGAGCATAGGCTCCAGACGCACAGGCTCAGTAGTTGTGGCTCACGGGCCTAGTTGCTCCGCGGCATGTGGGATCTTCCCGGACCGGGGCCCGAACCCGTGTCTCCTGCATCGGCAGGCAGATTCTCAACCACTGCGCCACCAGGGAAGCCCCTGATTGCTTGTTAAATGCTTGGCACCATTGTATTGTGGGGATTCAAAAGAATCAAGGGACATTGCCTTTGATCTCAAAGAGCTTACAGTTTGGTTGCCCAAACAAAACCAAGCATAACAAGGAAAAAAATTAGGTGGTACAATAAAGTAAAGATGGAATTCAGACAATATGTCAGTGGGCTAGAGTAGTCAGGGAAGATTGAAAGAGGGTGACTCTGTGGGGTGCCTTGTAGGATAGTGGTAGAGCAGGGAGGGCACATCAGGCAAGGGGTAGACAGCCTAAGAAAAAGCCCAGAGTTAGGAATTGGTGTAGGGTATTTAGGCAACATTGAGGAGAAACTGCCTGTCTTGAGGAAATTTGGTGATGCTAGAGAGTAATTACTAATTAGAAATAAAGTTTAACCTATAGATTGAATTATGATGAGCCTTAAAAACCATGCAGAAAATCCTGAACTTTTGTAGATTCTAGAGTACTGTAACAGTTTTCTTCTCTGCCTTAAAGGAATACAAAGAGCAAGAAGCCAGACTCACTCTCTCAGTGGAAGGGTTCACAGGTCATTGTTCTCAGAGCTGACCTTAATGTAACACAGTGACATGTATGATGGATTGGAGGATAGAAATAGAGTTGGGACCAACAGAAGCTGCTGCACTGCTTTGGGCACGCAGCATTGAGGGCTTTAGGCAAGAGTGAGGGCAGTCGGAATAAAGGGGAGAAACAGAGAAAGTAAGGAAGGAGAAACAGGACTTGGTGATAAAGGACAAAAAGAATAAAGAAAAGGAGTAAATGTTTAAGATTTTTAGCTTAAGAAATGAAGGAATGGTGGTATGAAAGGCAAATGAAAAATCTGGAAAGCCAGCGTGAGGGAAATGTTTAAATTTTATTTAATCCATCCGTTCATTCATTTAACATATACATACTGAGTGCCAACTATTTACTGAAGATATAGTGTTGAGCAAATAAAGACATCATGCTTGATTTCAGGGAGTTTTAGTCTACATGGAAGAAAAACATTGTTCAAATCATCACACAAATAAAAAATACAACTATGACATAGGTTCAAAGGAGTGGTATACAGTGGTAAGAGAGCCTAGATTAGGGGAATCTGACCTAATTGAGGAGATCAGGAAAGTCTCTGAGGAAGCAGAAGCTTGAGCTGATCTCTAAGGGTAAGTAGGAACAAAAGGGGGTGGAAAAAACATTCTAGGCAGAAGAAATACAAGTAGTATTTTCAGTGCTGAACTGGAGATGTGGCAACATATTGGAGTTAAAACCACTTAAGGCATTTGCAAAGACTGATTGGAGTACACATGAGAGTTTAGGAGGGAGATTTGGGCATGTTTAGTGAAAATTGGTAGTTGAGTTTAGGAAAGTGGATGAAGATACAGGAATAAAGGGGCTGAGACTAGAACCTTTAGGAATAACCACAATTAAAATAAACAGGAGAGGGCTTCCCTGGTGGCGCAGTGGTTGACAGTCCGCCTGCTGAGGCAGGGGACACGGGTTCGGGCCCCGGTCCGGGAAGATCCCACATGCCGCGGAGCGGTTATGCCCGTGAGCCATGGCCGCTGAGCCTGCGCGTCTGGAGCCTGTGCTCCGCAACGGGAGAGGCAACAACAGTGGGAGGCCCGCGTACCACAAAAAAAATAAAATAAAATAAATAAACAGGAGAATAAAAAAAGAGTACAACCAAAATAGAAGAGTTTAAAGAATTATAGGCTGAATGGAAGATGGAGGATTTTGAAATGGATTTGTGTCTCTGGTAGACTTTCAAAGAGTTTAATTGAAGAGGTAGGGGTAGAATCCAGACCGCAGGCACTGAATGTCTGTCTCATTGTGAGTTGATATTTCTGTACCCCAGGAAATACAGCCAGAGTACCAGGCCTCAAGTTCCACACTGTGTTGTTTTCAACACTTGGAGAAACAAAGGAATTTGGGTGAAATCTTTCACACCAAATCAGTGAACTTGAACTGGCCACAATGGGATGATGCCTAAGCCTGTTGGATGAAAAAAAGATAAGATAGGAATAGGATGATGAAATGTTGAGATGAAATGAGAAAGCTCAAACCAGCGGGGAGGAATTAGATGATAAAAGGTCTTCCAAGGCAAGTGGAGTAATTAGGAAGTTGGTAAGAGTTCACAGTTGGTTGTATATGATTGTGAATCCAACAATACAATATTTTTCTTTGTGATTGAACTAACTCAAAGGAGTATAACCAATAAACTGCACTCTTTAGTGCATCAACAATCACTCTGGCTATATCTCAGGCACTAGAAGTATCTAAGGTACATTTTTTTCATGCATTATTTTTGAACTATTTAATATAGCCAGATTTTGAATGGGGTTATGCTGCTTTCATATGCACCTAATTGAGGACAAGTTTTAGGAGTGGGGTATGTCTTTATCTGCTGGCAAATCAACCTACTATACTTTTTGTAACTCTGTTAATCTCACTTTCAAATTAGAATATTGAATGAATGATGTTGATTTCCTGGTTTTGTTTTTTTTTTTAGATTGAAAGCAGATTTATTCAGGGTGATACACACACAATAGACAGAATGTGAGCCATCTCAGAGGGCAAGAGGGCCTATTTTTCTGTTCTTAAACTAGAATTTCCAAAGTATAAGAAAAAATTTTCATACTGGGTCTATCTAAATTGGTAACTTTCCTGTGTTTTGAGATTCTTTTTGTGGGAAGGGAATTTTTTGGCCTTGCTTTTGGTCAGTACTCTGGTTCAACCTTGCCCATCACCATTAACAGCTGTTTATTATTATTATTATTAATTTTTTGGCTGCATTGGGTCTTCGTTGCTGCGCATGGGCTTTCTCTAGTTGTGGTGAGCAGAGGCTACTCTTTGTTGCGGTGTGCAGGTCTCTTATTGTGGTGGCTTCTCTTGATGTGGAGCACAGGCTCTAGGTACGTGGGCTTCAGTAGTTGTGGCACGTGGGCTCAGTAGCTATGGCACACGGGCTTAGTTGCTCTGCGGCACGTGGGATCTTCCTGGACCAGGGCTCGAACCCGTGTCCCCTGCATTGGCAGGCTGATTCTTAACCACTGTGCCACCAGGGAAGCCCTTAATAGCTATTTTATGAGTATCATCATGATTATATTCATAAATATTTCCATTTCTTAAGTTCAACATGTCTCAACTTTAAGAGAATGTAAGTTTAAATTAACTTGCCTAATATTATACTGCCTCTATGTGTGTATGAAAGCTCATTTTTGAAAATAAGAAGCCCATCCAACTGAAGCATTTCCCTTTAGCAGTTTTATATTTATTTATTTTTTAAATTTCTATTTACTTATTTATTTTTGGCTGCATTGGGTCTTCGTTGCTGCGTGCTGGCTTTCTCTAGCTGTGGTGAGCGGGGCTACTCCTTGTTGTGGTGCACAGGCTTCTCCTTGCAGTGACTTCTCTTGTTGCGGAGCATGGGCTTCAGTAGTTGTGGCATGTGGCCTCAGTAATTGTGGCGTGCAGGCTCAGTAGTTGTGGCCATGGGCTTCGTTGCTTCGCGGCATGTGGGATCTTCCCAGACCCGGGATCGAACCCGTGTCCCCTGCATTGGCAGGTGGATTCTTATCCACTGTGCCACCAGGGAAGTCCTATATTTGTTTATTTATTATTATTATTTTCCTTTAGCAGTTTTAAAGTGTAACTGAAATACAGGGCATGTGGAGACACTGCCTCATTGTTAACTTATACCCACTACAGGAAATACAGCCAGAGTTCTAGACCTCCAGTTCCAGACTATATTGGTCCTGATGATGAAACAACAAAGGAGTTTGGGTAAGCTCTCTTGACAAAGCAATGAACATGAGCCTGATCATAACAGTGGTTGTAGACATCTTATACATACTAGAATTGAGTGAGAATAACATAACAAGTATATTGTTCTGAACCAAGTGCCATGTGTGTGGTTGTTGACAAGTCTTACTTTGTCATTTTTGTAGGGATGAAAGTAAGCTTCAAGATCAAACCTTCATCACCCAGCAAGTGCCAATCTTAGACTCTACTGGTGAACTGGTGATACCCAATATTCAGAAATGATCACAAGAGTCTGACATAGTAAGGAGTCTGTAATCTAACCAAACAATATACATAATTGTTCCCCTTCCTCATGCAGCTTCCTCTAAGTCACAGTTCTTTTCTATACTAGTCAGGAGCTCTCAGGGATCAGTGAAATGAATAATAACATTAGTGTGAGATTGTGGACATTTTAATAAACAATATCCACACTAAGGAAGGCATATATTTAATGCAAATGCATATTTGTGCCTCTTTTAGTGTGGAAAACCTATAAATTGCCTTTTGAAATATATAGCCCAGTTAAAATATGTACTATCCTTTATGTAAGAATAAACATAGTGACCATGTAACTGTTGGCTTTGGACAGAGGTGGGAAGTCTGGGTCACTATAAGCTAGCGGACAAAGGCATTATAAGGAAGAACGGTACCATAAAAAAAAAAAGCCAGGTTTTCTTTTTAAGAGCTTTTTACTTGTAATTTGTTGTACATAATCAATTAGTACAATGTAAAATGTGAGAAATTTCCAGTGAGGCCACATCAGAGCAAAAAGAAAATACTGAATTTTTTAGCAGTTACTAGCATGAACACAACTGTACAGATTTTTTTCCATCTAAGAAATAAGAAACTCTTCTGAGTAGCAAGTACCTAGTCAAATGAGTTGATTCCAATTAGAGCAGCACAATTCTGATTAGTTAGCATTTCTTAAAAAGTAATTTTCCTTAAATGTAAGGAAAACTTAGGAGTCTCTGTGATTATATTTTAATTCCACTTGGAATTTAGACAATATGACCTTTTATTCAACCCAGCCTGTAGTTGTTGGACTGGATTAAATATTACTACCAGTTGTCAGCTGTGATAAGAGATAAAACAAGAGGCATTCTATTATGAAATTATAAATTTCTATTGCCTCACCTTTAGGCAGGCAAATCCCCCCCCTAAAAAAAAGCGCCAGGAGGGTCATAAATGTATTTTATTAAAGTTCAATCACCTTAAGTGATTAAAGATTTTGACGTTCTATCCAACAGGTGGTAGTAATAAGCCTAAAATCCACAGAGTGCACAAACATTTTCAAGGTTTTTACCATCCTTAATTCATTAAATAACCTCCATGGAATAGGTTAGCATTATCTATGTAACTAATGAGGAAGCAGGTCCTCTGGCTGAGGACCAGAGACTACTCTATCAGAAATGAGAAGCCTTCTTTCTCCTAGGTCAGTGGGTGAAGACCACATCAGAAAGACAGGATTCAACTGGCATGGTAGAGCAAAAAGACAGAATCTATTCTGTTTAGCATATAAATTTCTGTTCTGACTTAACGTTGAGCTATAGCTCATTAGTTGAGCTACAGCAAGGAAACAAAAAGCATAAAGACAGTTGAATTAATGGTAGCAGAAGAATCTGTCAAAGCATTTCTTTGACTACTTCACACATGGAAAGCTTTGAAATTTCTTAGGCCCCAGTTAATTACTTTACATTAGGGTTCTTTCATTAAAAAGTATCACAGGGCTTCCCTGGTGGCGCAGCGGTTGAGAGTCCGCCTGCCAACGCAGGGGACACGGGTTCGTGTCGGTCTGGGAAGATCCCACATGCCCCGTAGCGGCTGCGCCCGTGAGCCATGGCCGCTGAGCCTGCGCGTCCAGAGCCTGTGCTCCGCAACGGGAGAGGCCACAACAGTGAGAGGCCCGCGTACCGCAAAAAAATAAAAATAAAAAGTATCACAAATGAGAAATGCAGGCAAGAGGAAAGAACAATATAAAAATTTTGACAAGTAATATCAGGTTAGCCTTACTTTAGGCAACAGTCTCGCACATACTTGGAGAACACTTGAGTCTGAAGGTTTTGAGCCTCCACCCCAGAAAGTAGGAATTTGGTTTTTCCCTTCCAAACGGGAAGGACATTTTTAGGGAGAATTTTTGTTTTGGAGAATTTAACAGTGTCACCCAAGGTTGTATCTTTAAGGGTGGTTCATTTTCTCTGACCGTTTTTTACTCTAAGTAAAGTACTAGGAGTCCTAAGAAATGTTCTGTTCTTATACATTATACTGATTAAGTTCAGCATTAATTTGATTTCAAAGCTAAGAACAGTGGTTAAAACTTGTTTACAGAAATGCATTTTGGAAGAGAAAAATATTGTAAAACATGTAGTGAATGTTTCTTCAGTTTCTCATTCAGCCAATGAGGAAAGGGCATTGCCTTTCTTTTTACCATTAATCACTTCTCAATAAACGGAAGATCCTGTTAAGCAACAACAACAAAAAAGAGCCTTGCTCACTTTCATGTTGGAATACCCCTTGATTTCTGGGCCTGATATAACTTTTGAAATAGTTTTCTAAAAAAATCCTGTTGGCATCTGAATTAATGACTGAAGCATTAATTGACTGCTGAAGCAAACCCTGAAATTTAACGCTTGGCACACACCACAAAAAGTTGATTTATCCAATACATACTGAGGTATCCTTGGGAAGTGGTTTTAAGAAGCAGGAACAGTGACAATGATAGAATTAGTGGTCATGAGTCACTAGGACAAAGTGGCATTCAGCAGAAAAGACAGAAGCAGTTGTCACATCTGTGGGATAAGTAGAGATAGATTATATCTTGTGTGGTGTGGGATAAATGAGAGGCTCAGCAAAGCTTTGCAGAGAGGCCTCACCCACTGGCATTTATGTGGGGCTGTATTTGATGATCAACCAATGGGTGAATTATTTTTGACCTATTTCCCCATACAATAGATCCTCTTCCTTGGAAGATCGTCTTTACACACACTAATGTTCCCTTCCTTCAAGTCATCAGAAAAGGGGAAAATTTTTAGAAATCAGGTCTAAGCTCTTATTCCAGAGAAGCATTTCACAGTTAGAACAGTGACCTCAAAAATAAAATTATGAAGAGCAAGTGAAAATCTGGTTTCAGAATGACACTAGGAGTCTCCCTATTAGCTACTTAACAGGGGATAATGGTCCTGTGAAAGATTTTAGTTACATAGTATTCCAATCCCAGGGATCTGATCTGAGCAAAGTTGGCAGTTGGAGTTGGTCAAGAATAAAGGGCAATTACTCAGGATGGACTGAGTCCAGAACAAACTCATTTCTAACGGCCCATGGTAGGCATGACTACAGCAGGTGAGGAAAGAGAAGCATCTTCTTCTTTCCACTGTGAAGTTACAGTTTTTAGCTGAGTGTAGAACTGGATGCCCTAAAGAGAACAAAGAAAGAAAAAAAAAAAGAGAGAAAGAGTTATCATATATGCCCGGGGGTTTCATGATTCCTCTTTTAATCACTTTTGAAGGAGATGCTATGAAATGCTATTCACGTTCCTACTGGAGGAATAGGTGCAACCAAAATTAAATATATTGCTCATGAGATAATTTATGTAAAACATTTAGCTTATTACCTGGCACATCTAAATGGAAAAATTGAACAAGGTAAACTGTTAAACTTGTATTTATTTTATAAGAATAGGCTTGAGTAAAAGAGAATAGACTGCAGATCTAACACATAAAATTACTAGCAAGCTAGAAGGATACTGTTAGAAAAAAACACACCAGCTTGATTAAAATACTCTTCTGGAATTATTAGACAAAATCTGGGCAATGTTAATACAGTGAAAACAACTTTAGAGATTATTACATACTTTCAATATAAGATACAACTGAAGTTTACATTTTATTATGTAAGAATGATACTTTTATGTCTTCTTTCCAGAGTGCAAAATAGCAATTTAAGTACCTAAGGATTTAAGACTTCAAACTGTATATAAGGTCAGTCTTTTACTCTAAGAAGCCTCACTCACCAGAGTAACTTACAGTAATTAAACAAAGACATAGCAGGAAAAAAACTCCAAAACTGACAAACTATTTTAAGCAAGAGTTTTACTCTGCTTCCCTTGAAAGAAAGTTTCAATAGTATCAAACTAGTCAATTTTACAAAAGCTGTGACTAATGCACAAACTGGATAATCCACCTCCAAACAGTGTTTCTTAACCAGCTGGCTACACAGTCATAGCCTGCTGTGTAATCCCACTGTTAATTTATTATTAACCTATAAAAGGGAAACCTGTATAGAAAATAAGTAATTTTTTACTGAAGGTCCCAAAATGGCTGTATTTCTGTGGGACTACAAAGAACTTTCACTAGCCCATTTGTCCAACACATATTTGGGTACTTGCTCTGTGCCACGTTCTGCAGATAAGTAAATAATAATTACAGTGTGATGAGAGCTTCTTAACATGGCTTAAATAGTCCTACTACATGACTTGCCTCTGCCTACCTCTCTAACCTCATCTCTTACCACTATCTTCCTTATTCACTCACTGTGCTCCAGCCCATTTCTGCTGTTTGAACGGTGCCATGCCTGTTCTTGCTTTAGGATATATGCACCAGTTGAAGGATGTGATAATAGTGGTAATTTGGTTCCAGATCTGCTCTATTTATTTATTTTTTGTTCGGTGCTGCATTTATATAATTTTTATTATAGAATAGTGTTTAATATACAGAAGGTGCTCAATAAAATTTTTAGTAAATGAGTAACTATTATGGGAGCAATGTGTGCAGTGGGAGCACATGAGGACATACCCAACCCAACACTGAAGGGGATGGTGGTGGTCAGAAGTGATTTTCTGGAGGAGTCCACACTTTAAACTGGGGGTTAACAGTCAGATGAAAAGGGGGGAGAAAGGGGGGATACAGGAAGAGAGGGTCACAGGCAGAGGAGAGGACATATACAAAGACTTGGATTTACTCATGCTCTTTCCCAAAAACTCTGTTGCCTTGAGTTATTCAGGAATTGGCAAAATTTTGTTAACTTTTATATCTTTTCTAGGGAAACTACTGACTTGTTCCCGAATATGTTCAAGAAAGTTTCTTAGAGGAAAAATATATTTTTTAAACTTAAAGTCACCTGTTTGCCATAGAAATTGGTGTCTCCCCTGAAGGAAGCTCGAGAGCCAGTGAATGAGAACATTGGCAAAGGCACTGGAATGGGCACATTCACCCCGACCTAAAGCAGAACAAATCCACGTCACATACTAAGAAAAACAAAGGAACTTTCCATTTAGAAGCCCAAATGCTTGGCATCAGAGAGACCAATTTTAACTACCCACCTTCTACCCGATCCTGCATCCCATGAGCTTTTATTCCTGAGGAAGAAATGGGGCACTGAGGGAGATCAGAGGGGCAGTGACTGATCGCTGTTTACCTTCTCCCCTTACATAGGAAACAGTAAATGGCTACAAGAATATCCTAAGAATTCTGTTCACAAACCTGTCCGACATCTACCAGGTGGGAATATTTCCGAGCAGTGGCTCCATTGGTGGTGAAGATGGCAGTTCCATTTCCATATGGGTTGTCATTTACGATCTTGATGGCTTCATCCAAAGTGTCTGTTTCCAGAACTACAAGAACTGGGCCAAAAATCTCCTCTTTGTAACAGGTCATATTTGGCTGCCAGGAGTGATGTAGCAGAAAAGAAGTCAGTATTTTTTGCTTATTTGGTACTTTATTACCCACTTGCTTAATGAACAGCTTTTATGTTAGTAATAATCTCTTTTCATTTTAAATCACCTATTAAAAAAAGTCCTTTCTTGCTGTGTTCCATCTTCCAAGCTACCCATCATAAATAACTTGAAATTCCTATTACTGTAACTATATAACTACACTCCTTTTCTTTAAGCACTGTATTTTTAGGTCTCATGACCCATTACTAGCTTCCTGTTTTATGCCTGTATTACTTGTTTATCCAATTGTTATCTTACTGAAAACTACTTGAAAATTCATTTTTTTAATAAATCAAATATACATTAAAAATACCACAGGAGAATTTTTCTATTTAAAGAAATCCTGTGCTAAGTTTTCTGTAACATAAACAATCTATTCTGATTTGTTCCTTTGCCTCCCAAATGGGTCTGTACATTTTTATTTTGGTATCAGGTCACATTAAACATTGAAAACATCTTTTACCACTGCAGCTGGTCAGCTGTGTTTGTTGCTGATAAGTGGATTTTTCCTCAATGACTCTGTGGCAAGAAATCTCATAATTTCTACTACACTTAGATTCAGCTCTTGACTGTTCAGGATTTTAATAGGATTAGTGGGGATATCTGAATTTCAAAAAAACTCCTCAATATAGTCATTGAGGAGTCATTGTCATTTTAGCTGCACAACTTTCAGTTTTGATAAATAAAAATTGACACCAATTCTTTTTCTTTTGTCACTTTCTGGTGAAGATGTAGGTATTCAATAACTATTGGGGGCTGATATATTGATGGAGACACTGCAATAGCTATAAGCTAGGCAGTAAGAAGGAGAGGGAAGAAGAATTTAACATTAAACAAGTAAGAAGTATAATGTAAGATAGGAACTGGCAAAATAATGGCCTGTGAGCTGGAGTGGCTTGCTGCCAGTTTTTGTACAGCCCACAAGCAAAGAATGGTTTCTACAATTTTTAAATGGTTGAAAAAAATCAATCATGACACCTAAAACTATATGAAATTCAAATTCCATTGTCCATAAATAAAGTTTTATTGGAATATAACCACACCATGTTAATGGCTGAGTCGAGTAGTTGTGACAGAGACTATTTATCCCTGCAAAGCCAAAAATATTTACTCTTTAGCTCTTAATGTAAAGTTATCCAACCACTGGTATAGTGGAAAGAGGTTGGAAGTCAGAAGGGGAGACTCATTCAGACTTGAGATAAAATAACTGAGTAATTCTGGCAAGAGATGAGGTCTCTAGTCATTAAATGTCTTCATTTATAAATTAGGTGAATGAGGTGCCTTTAGCTAATTTCACAAAATTATATATTTGCAAAATAAATAATCCAGAGTTGTTCACCTTGACATTTGAGATGATGGTTGGCCCAACAAAGTTCCCATTTTCATAACCTTTGACTTTAATATCTCGCCCATCAAGAAGGATGGAAGCTCCTTCCTTTGTTCCACTATCAATCAGATTGCAGACTCGCTCTTTTGCCTGGGGGGTGATCAGAGGGCCAAGATCAGCTCCAGGCTGGTCTCCTGTAGAACAACACAGAAGTATTTAAGGTCTTCATTAACATAAATTATGAGTGCTAAATAAAGATGAATCCAAATGACAAGTAGTACAGTACAAAGAGAGACAATGGTAAGAATAAACATGATTGCTCCCACTGGACAAGGCCAATGCGAAAATCAAGAGCTTAGTGCCACAGGTGCAAAGTCTAAAGAAGCCCGGCAGATAACTGGTTACCTGCATTGACTCTCAGCTTTTTGGCACGCTCTACCAGCTCTGGCAGCCACTTCTTAGCTTCTCCCACAAGGATCGCTGTTGAAAGAGCCATGCGGCGCTGACCAGCGGCTCCAAATGCTGCCCCAACGAGCTGGTTCAGAGTATTTTCCTTATTGGCATCTGGCATGACTACCCCATGGTTTTTGGCTCCCTAAGGAAATACAGAAAGTACATGAATCTTCCTTGGCAAAATACAATTTGGCTAAGAAATTAAAGAACCTGAGATTTCAGATGAGAATTTAAGGGAAGGGCTCAAGAATTTATCCTGTGTTGCTTTGAAAATAGATTTATTATCATTTTGATATTGCTGAAGTACTGGTAACACTGAGTAAGTCTCCAGGTTACTTTCGCTTCACTTCCTCAGCTGAAAAGCTGATAGGTGTTTATTTAGATCAAAACCACTATCAAACGACCCCCACCCCGCCCAAAAAACAAAACACTGCCTCAATCACATTCGGTCAAATTGACAGGCTAAACACTGCATCCAGGAGCCAAGGAGAACTCCCTTCTCTTTCCTAAGTTAGCTAGGAAAGAATTTGTCGTTTGTCAGAGGTTCCAGTTATATGAAGAGCAATGTAAACATAGAGCTGCCAGTAGCCAGCTGAAAGGCAAAATAGGAGGTAGGCCTCCTGATACACAATTTCCGGAAAGAAATTCCCCCAATTGGCTTGCTTCTAGATACACAGCCTCATAAACTTCTATGTGGGACTGACATATGGTCATTTCCACATGTTTCCAGGTACAGCTATAGTTGAGTACATAAATAGATACCTTGTCTGCTACTTAACTGTATCCCATTACATATAGTATAATGTTAGACACAGAATACATTCAAGAAATATGTAGTGAAATGGGAGGGGCATAAATCAAATTGGCCAAAACACATCCAGCCATGAAAAGAAACAAATGGGCATATCATGAACAGTCTCCAAGCCTGTACATAGGTGGCTACCCTTTTTGCAACATTAGTGGAAGGGTAAGAAAGTAGCAACTGGACATTATATTTAGTATCAAAGAATTACCAAGTATTTGGCAAGGAGCTAGTCACTAAGGAACAGTAAAACTATGCAGCCAAGTAAACCACACTCATATATCATACACGGATATCTGGCTCTTTCCAGAGCCTTAAATAGTCTGGGCTCTTAGGGAAGATCATATCTTTGACATTAGTAGTTAGGATACGCCTTAAAGGCAGGAAGGATGGGGTCTAGCTGGAAGAATGGTATGAAGGAAGAAACAGGGCCAGAAGCAGAATTTGGCAGTTACTGCTGAAGCCCAAAGAATTTGAATATCATTCTTAAGGAGAAATGTGACTTTATCACCAAGATTACCTGGTTAAGATAAAAGGTAATTAAAGTGACAGAGAATAAAACTCATCACACTGTTCGTGGTTAAAGGGAAGACAACCAGGATGAATTGTGAATAAAGAAACACTGTCATTAGGGTGGGATGAGTGGCCCCTCTACTGAGGGGCTTTTTCCAGGTAATTTTAATACATATAACAGAATTTGGGGGAAAAAGGAGTAAGAAGTTACCATATTGGCTTGAACTCTCTTGCCATGTCTTGACCCTCTCTCAAAGATGTACTCTCCTGCCTGGTTGGATCCCACAAAGCTGATTGCTTTGATATCAGGATGCTCGCAAATAAAGTTTACAGCTTTAAGAAGAAAATAAATGATTACCACAAAGGAAAAAAGGGCTGTGGGATTCTCAGCAAAGCAAATTTCTCCCTTTCTCACTGTTATGAATGAGAAGTTTTCATACTTTTGTTTTTCTACCCTGGATTCCCATTTTGGAGTTCTGTCCTTGTTCTCTTAAATTCTTCTTTTTTTTTTGGCCATGCTCCACCACTAGTGGGATTTTAGTTCCCCAACCAGGGATCTAACCTGCGCCCCCTGCAGTGGAAGCGAGGAGTCTTAATCACTGGACTGCCAGGGAAGTCCCTCTCTTAAATTCTTTAAACTACAAATCTTATTTAACCTCTTCTCTTTCATTATTTTTCCCACTTGCTAGTCCAGAATTTCTACTTTTAATCTAACTCTGAAGGCTACAACTCCTATTTTCCTCCAAAATAATAGCCTTTCAATACTTAACTCTTCCTTTTGTCCTTTACGAATGTGATATTTCCTCAACTGTCACTTATACTGGGACTCTCAGATACTACTGTGCCCTCATGTGAGAGGCAATAGAGCATAGTATTTAAAAGTAAAAACCAGGGTCTGCCTTCTTAAGTGTACACATCCCAACTTTTACAGTTTCTAGCAACGTGACTTTGGGCAAATCACTTAGTTTCATTATACCTCAATTTTCTTATCTGTAAAATGGGAAAATAATAGTACCTACCTCAAAGGGTTGTTGTAAAGACTAAATGAGATAATACATAGAAGGCATTAGGAACAAATATATAGAAGGCATTAGGAACAGTGCTTGAAACACAGAAGCACTTTTTAAGTGTTAGCTATTATTATATGAATCAGAAGGACTTCAGTACCTCTGAGATCTATAAAGTCTGAGTTAAATAACCTTATAAATTCTCTCAATATTGAAATGAAAACTTCTCTTTAATCTCATCTGTATCTTGCCCTAACCATATTTCTTTGTCCTAATGTATTCTGTAGGGCAAGAAGCACCGCTACTCCCCAGTTAGTTACCTTAGCACAGAGGTGGCAAAACAATCAACAAACATTATCTTCAAACATGGAGGTTACTACTAGTAAATCCCTTCATCCCTAGGTTCTTCATCCTAAAACACCCCATCACTGACTGAACACCTTGATTTTTTGGTATCCAGATTAAGTGCCATGTACAGAGGGGCAGTTACCTTCATGTTGTCCATGGATGACATTCAGTGTTCCGTCAGGGGCACCAGAGTCCTGAAGCAACTTGGCAAGAAGTATAGTTGCTCCAGGGACTCGCTCTGATGGTTTCATTAGGAAGGTATTTCCACATACCATGGCCATGGGAAACATCCAAAGGGGGATCATGGCAGGAAAATTGAACGGAGCAATGCCTGCACACACCCCCAGAGGCAGACGGTAGGAATAAAGGTCCATGTCTTTGGTGATGGATGGCATGGTCTCTCCCAGCATGAGGGATGTCACACTGCAGGCATGCTCAACCACCTCTGGAACAGAGAAGCAGTCGGGCCACCAACTCTCCACACTGTGCACTACTTAGTTTTGTCATGCTCTAGTCAGCCCTGAGTGGCAAGACCAACGACAGAGGGAAGAAACACTGACTTGCCATGTGAAGGGGTTGCGTAAAGTGAGATTATATGAATGGGAAAAAGACAGTGCAATACATATACCATTTGGAAGATCATTTGAGTAAAATAATGAATGAAGTAAACCAATCCCACAGATACCTGAGTACTGTCATTTCCCATAAGTAGTAAAAAAGATATCATGGGATAGCAAAATCTACATAAAGGAAGAAGCAATCCCCCATCTGGGGTCTTTGCCTCTCATTTTTCTTTGCTTCTTCCCAATGTCCCTGAACTCCCCATGAGGAATCCCTGCTTACGAAGGCCTCGAAATACATCTCCTTCGGCATCCGCTAGGGTCTTCCCTTGTTCCAGCGTGATTAACCTGGCAATTTCTTTCTAGAGAGAAAACACACAAATAGAAACCAATGCAAGGATGTGCCTCCTGTTAGTTCTCAGGCAGCCAAAAAAGAATAAAAGTCAGGGAGAAGTACTATGAGGGAGAGAGCCATGATCTATGGCTCTCTGTATTGTACAGTTAGGGAGAGCAGCTAAAAGGGCCTCTATGAGAGTGACAAGTATCCCCTAGGCAACAGTTTGGAAAATTATACCATTCAGATTTCTTACCAAGTTTTCTTTAATGAGTTGTTGATAGCGGAGCAGGACCTGCTGACGGCTTAATATTGAAGTGTCTGCCCATGCAGGAAAAGCACGTTTGCAGGAAGAAACTGCTGCATCCATTTCAGCCTTGGTGGCTTGAGGGACCCGACCAATGACCTCATTGGTGGCCTGATGGAGAAAGCAGCACATCAGGGACTTCTCTGGTGGTCCAGTGGTAAAGAATCTGCCTTAGGGCTTGCCTGGTGGTGCAGTGGTTAAGAATCTGCCTGCCATTGCAAGGGGGACAGGCTCGATCCCTGGTCTGGGAAGATCCCACATGCCGCAGAGCAACAAAGCCCATGCACAACAACCACTGAGCCTGCACTCTAGAGCCCGTGAGCCACAACTACTGAGCCCACGTGCCACAACTACCGAAGCCTGCGCACCTAGAGCCTGTGCTCCGTGACAAGAGAAACCACTGCAATGAGAAGCCCGCGCACAGCAACGAAGAGTAGCCCCCGCTTGCCTCAACTAGAGAAAGCCCCCACACAGCAACGAAGACTCAATGCAGCCAAAACTAACTAACTAACTAACTAAATAAAACAAACAAAAAAAACTGCCTTACAATGCAGGGGCCACAGGTTCGACCCCTGGTCAGGGAACTAAGATCCCACATGCTGCGGGGCAACTAGGCCCACGTGCCACAACTACTGAGCTCGCGCCCCTCAACTAGAGAGCCTGTGTGCCACAAACTACAGAGCCCATGTGCTCTGGAACCCGCACGCCACAATTACAGAGCCCATGTGCCCTGGAGCCTGTGAGCCATAACTAGAGAGAAGCCTGCACGCTGCAACAAGGATCCCACATGCCTCAACGAAGATCCCGCGTGCTGCAACTAAGACCCGATGCAGCCAAAAATAAATAAAATAAATAAACAAATAATAAATAAATCTTTTTTTTTTTTAAAAAAAGCAGCACATCATCCTTTGTCCCTGCCCCACCTTCTTCATTTTTTGTATAGTCGCAGGGGCAGCGCCATGTGCTTCACAGTAGACACCCTGGTCCCTATTTTCCCACCATGTTCCCAGAATTCTAGGCTGGTTAAATTTAAGTCCCAAAGCAGCTTTGCTTACGGGGTTGTGGATGTCCATCCATTTGTCACTTTTGGATTCAATAAATTTCCCATCAATGAAAAGCTTTACAGTTGGCTGGGGAAAAAAAAAAACAAAACACCACAAAACTTTGTATTAGTTAGTTGCTTTACTTCTCTCTTTCACAAAGAGAAAAGAAATTGGGGTTGATAACTGAATTTTCTGCCCTCTAGGAATGTTAGCACTAGGAAAGAGATATACAATATACTTGTCTATAGTGCTTATTAATATGGGGCAGAGCCTCTCAATACTGTGATCTCTCTGTAAATGTGAAATTCCCTGCTAATCACACAGTGGAACTTCACGAGTAAACATATGCCACTGAGAAGCTTATACTAAAAAAGCAGTAGACTCTGTGTTAACAAAGATTAGCTATTAGGACGTCTTGGCCCAGCTGACTTTCTGTCACATTACCATGAGCATGCATTACCTTTATGATCAAAAGATTTTAAAAGACATTTCTATCTGTGTAGTTTTTCTGAGAAGTAGCTTGTTTTCATTAAATTTTCAAAGTGGTCTGTGGGCCAAAAAAGGTGAAAGATTACTATGTTACAGTATGTGCATGCTTCTATATAAACAGGATTTTGAGCACCAGTCCTTATATATCAGGTTTCGTTACTGCAAATGGCTGATAGACAGTAGGTCTGTAAAAACAACTCTAAAGGTTGTAAAGAAGACAACCTTTCTGGCAGGGTCAAGAAAACCTCTAGAAGCCAAGAAAATGTATCTTTTGACACAGTAATCCTAATTCAGAAGGGAAAGAAGAAAACTACATAAATAAATGTTTGTTTTATAATACTGAAAAACAGAATAAGTCTAAATGTTATCTGGAAAAATTATTAGTTAATTCAGGCTATATCTACTTGATAGAATATTATATAGCCATTAAAAATCATAATCATAAAGACCACCGTGCAATATTGTAAATGCTTACAACATAGTAGACATAATATAAGAAAACCAAGATACAAAATTTCAGATAAACTCTGATCATAATTATGTAAAGAAGATAAATGGGAATACCCCCAAATTATACTGGATTCCTTCTCAGAAGTCAGCCTTTATTACCAAATAAACTCACCACTGAAGATGAAGAGAAGGAGGATGCTGGGTGCCAACTGGAGTTCACCTTGGAAGAAACCTGGGAGGTAAAAGAATGGTTATTTTGATAAATGAGAGCAGAAAATTATTAAAAATTTAGTGAATGGCTACTATATGCTTAACATTATACTAGTTACTGTCGGTATATGAAAAAGGACTTGGTGTTTGCTCTCAAGGGTCATACAGTCTTTATAAAGAGAAAAGTTGTGAGACTATGAGTCACAGCAAACTATGAGAGAACAATAAACCACAATGATCATGTGCTCAATTTCCAGGACAGTCCTGGTTAAAAAAATATTTTTTTGTCATTAGACCATATTTTTCTAATTTTTGACCTGGTAACTGTAGTCACCATAAATCTAAAAATAAGAAAATACTTAGGATGGTGTCTAACACAATAGGTGTTGAATATAAGATAGCATATAACCAAGTGTCAAATGTATGTATAATATGCCCACACAAATACTTAAAACATGAATGTTCATGGTAAATTTATTGGTAACAGCCTAAAATTTGGGAACAACGCAAATGTCCACAATTGGATGGGTGAATAGGGAAACTAGTATGGTATATCCATATGTTGGAATACTACTCAGCAATAAAAAGGAATCGACTATTGATATATGCAACATGGATAACTATAGTAATTATACTGAGTGAAAGAAGTTAAGACTTAAAAAGAGTATATACGGTATGATTCCATTTATATAAAACTAGAAAATGTAAAAGGTAATGTCAGAAAGCAGATGAGTGGTTACCTAGAGACAACGGAGGAGGAAAAGAGGAAAGGGGGTAAGAGAGAAACGTTTTGGGGCAATTAATATGTTCACTCTCTTGATTGTGATGTCTTCACAGGTGTATATAAATATTAAAACATCAAATTATACACTTTAGGGCTTCCCTGGTGGCGCAGTGGTTAAGAATCCGCCTGCCAATGCAGAGGACATGAGTTCAATCCCTACCCCGGGAAGATCCCACATGCCGTGGAGCAACTAAGCCCGTGCACCACAACTACTGAGCCTGTACTCTAGAGCCCACAAGCCATAGCTACTGAGCCTGAATGCCACAACTACTGAAGCCTGCACGCCTAGAGCCCGTGCTCCGCAACAAGAGAAACCACTGCAATGAGAAGCCCACACACCACAACGAAGAGTAGCCCCCGCTCGCTGCAACTAGAGAAAGCCCATGCACAACAATGAAGACCCAACACAGCCAAAAATAAACAAATAAAAAAAATTATACACTTTAAAATATGTACAGTTTATTTTAGGTCAATTTTATTTCAATAAAGCTGTTTTTAAAAATGTCACATGTGGGCTTCCCTGGTGGCGCAGTGGTTAAGAATCTGCCTATCAATGCAAGGAACACGGGTTCGAGCCCTGGTCTGGGAAGATCCCACATGCCGCGAAGTAACTAAGCCCGTGTGCCACAACTACTGAGCCTGTGCTCTAGAGCTCGCAAGCCACAACTACTGAGCGCACGTGCCACAACTACTGAAGCCTGCGCGCCTAGAGCCCACGCTCCGCAGCAAGAGAAGACATTGCAATGAGAAGCCCGCGCACTGCAACAAAAATTAGCCCCCGCTCGCCACAATCAGAGAAAGCCTGTGCACAGCAACGAGGATCCAACACAGCCAAAAATAAATTAAAAAAAAAAAAAGCCACATGTACCTAATAGGAAAAGAATGTGTTATACAGGTAATAGGATTTAATCAGGAAATGGCAGGGGTCGGGGGGATCAGTTACAATAAAAAAAAAATAGTTTTTTTTTAGTTCTCTAAAAAAAAATAGTTTGTATATATGCTATAGTTCTCTAAAAAAAAATAGTTTGTATATATGCTATGCAAGTTGATATAAGAAATACTGAAGTCTAATCAAAGTGAGCAAACTAAAATAGTTACCTTGCTATTACCTTGTCTGAAGAGAAATCATGTTAACCAAAGAGTTTAGGGCTGCATAAAGTACAAGAATTTGTTTGTGTGCCTGCAGCACTGTCCAGAGGAAAGGGTGCTGGTCCTTTGGGCCAGCAGACAGTGCTTCCAAATGCCTGGTCTGCTTCCTCTCCCAGTCCCCACAAAAGCTATTTCAAACCATCAACACTCTCCTGGAGACCACCATGTCTTACTTATAGTCACGTTCCGAATACCAACAGAGTAGGTGTTCAGTAAACATCTACTGAACGAAAGAAAGGTCCACTGGGCAGCTTATGTTGCCTGACTGTCCCCCACCCCAGACTTGGTTAGCTGTCCTTTTTTGTACTCCATAGCAGCCAATATTTCCCCTAAGAGGTTATGTCAGTGTTGTAATGACCTAGTTACTTGTTTGTTATCCCAAAGACTATAAATTCCACAAGGGCAGGCACCGAATCTTGTTTACCTACTTTACAGAGTTACTAAGATCAAGCTTGTCCAGGTATGAAAAATAGCTAGCAAGTAGTTGGTGCTCATTACATGTTATTACTATAAATACTTATTTGCTCATGCTCCTTGCTATTTCAAAACTTAACAATTCTCTTAAAATTTTCAACTCTGTTCCTTTCCTTCTCACTCTTAAGAGCTGATCTTGCAGATGTAAACTATTATATATAGGATGGATAAACAACAAGGTCCTACTGTATAGCACAGGGCACTATATTCAATATCCTGTGATAAACCATAATGGAAAAGAATATTAAAAAAAGAATGTCTATATGTGTATTACTGAGTCACTTTGCTGTACAGCAGAGGTTGGTACAACATTATAAATCAACTATATTTCAATTAAAATTTTTTTAATTAAAAAAAAAGAGCTGATCTTATTTTTTCTACTTCAGCGGAAACAGAAACCATCAGATGGGAACTTCCTCAACTTCTTACCAGTAAGCCTACAAAACTGACCAACACCCATCATTTTTTCCTTTCTTCCTCTTATAGTGGAGAAGGTAGCTACCAAGGTTCACAGGGACAGAGTGACTGGGAGACAGAGGTGCACAGAGGTGGACTGACTGAAGAGATGTCTGTCTTGTGATCTAAGGCTAATCTCTGCACCTGTGCTCTGAACTGTTCCTCCTGCCTCGGACACCTCCATCAATGATTCTTTCTTTCCTGTACCTTAAACCTCTCTCCATCCAATAGCCAGAGTTCTCTATACCAATTACCTCCCCATCTCCCACTAACTCTTCAATCAGCTCCAAGCTTTATGACTGAACACGAGTGACTTCCTCCATACCATGGACTCTTCCGAGTCCTTCTTGTACTTGACCTCTCAGCAGAGGTGGAGAGTTATTTAATCATGCCCTCTGTCTGAATCCCCTCTCCACTTGTATTCTGTGATGCCCTGGTATCTTTTCTATTTCTTGGGCCACTTTTTCTATGCCTTCTATGCTGGTTCAGTCTCCTATACCTGGCCTCTAATGGTTGAGTTCCTGAACAAGGAGTTCCTGAACTCTCCTTGGGTGATTTCATCAACTCCAGTGGCTTAATTATCTAGATCCTGGTGATGCCCAAATCTGTAATTCCTCACCAGAATCTTCCTCTTCAGGTAATACCTACATAACTGTCTTCACCACATCTCTACTTGGATGTTATTTAGGTACATGTTGAAAAAGCTGACCTCATCTTCCTTCCACCAACCAGCTCTGTTTCCTATAGCCCACCGTTCAGTAAATGGGGCTACTATCCACCTAACTGCCCAGCCAGAAACTTGAATGTCACCCCAACTTCTCCCTCTCTCTCCTCAGTGAATCAAACAAGTCCTGGCAATCTGTCCTCCCAGAAGTCTTTGAAATGCACCCCCTTCTCTCCACCCCTCCTACCCTCACCGAAGTCTATGCCATCATTGTCTCTCACCTGGACTTCAACAATGGTTTCCTAACAGGTCTCCCAGCCTCCAATCTTAAACCTTCTGAATCTAGTTTCCACTCCATAGCCAGAGGGTCTTTCTAAAACACAAACCTGGTTAGATCACTCCTTTGTTTAAAACCTATCAATGGCTTTCCATTGTCCTTGGGATAAAGACTCACCTTGATGTTGCTTAGAAGACTCTACATAGTATCTTTACTTCTCTAGTTTCCTAGCTTGTCGCTTTCCTCCTTGCTCTCTCTATGCTGCAGCTGTTCAGAACATGTTTTGTGATCTCATTGCCCTTGCACATGCTGCTCCCTCTTGCCTGGAATTGTTTCATCCCATTTGCTTGGCTCACGTCTATTCCTTAGCGCCCTATCACTTTGGGTACAGGTACAGGTACAGGTCAGTTCTGTAGGCTTGCTAGCAGGAAGTTGAGGACATTCTCATCTAATGGTTTTTGTTTCCTCTGAAGTAGAAAAAACAAGATTAACTCCTGTGAGTGAGAGGGGCAGTAGCAGAGTTGGAAGTTTTTAAGTCTCAATCTCTGGTCTAGGCTAAGTACCTGATTATGAAGTTCATAAAACACCTGAATTCCTCTATTTCTCATATCGCACTAGGGAATAGTAGCTTATTTAATTATTAAGTCTCTCTCCCTTAGATCACTAGATGGTTGTGTCCTAAGCCCCTAGCACCATTCCTGGACTAGAGTAAGCACTCAGTAATACTCTGCAGAATGAAAGAATGAGTACACATCAAGCAATTGTTGGATATTAATTTTGTTTCATGTAAATTCTCTTACAGGGCAGAAAATGCACGGATAAGCCAACTGGAGCATTCTAGGCCACTTATTTTGTTTGTTTGTTTTCTTTTTTAAAAAAAATTTATTTATTTATTGGCTGTGTTGGGTCTTCATTGCTGCACGCGGGCTTTCTCTAGTTGCAGCGAGCAGGTGTTACTCTTCGTTGCAGGTGCACGGGCTCTAGAGCACTGCCTCAGTAGTTGTGGCGCACCGGCTTAGTTGCTCTGTGGCATGTGGGATCTTCCCGGACCAGGGATCGAACCCGTTTCCCCTGCATTGACAGGCGGATTCTTTTTTTTTTTTGCGGTACACGGGCCTCTCACTGCTGTGGCCTCTCCCGTTGCGGAGCACAGGCTCCGGATGCACAGGCCCAGCGGCCATGGCTCACGGGCCCAGCCGCTCCGCGGCATGTGGGATCCTCCCAGACCAGGGCACGAACCCACGTCCCCTGCATCGGCAGGCAGACTCTCAACCACTGCGCCACCAGGAAAGCCCGACAGGCGGATTCTTAACCACTGCGCCACCAGTGAAGCCCTAGGCCACTTAGTTTTATTTTGTCACTGGCACACAGTCTCCCTGCTGTCAAGAGGGCATAAAAGGCACTGCATCTGGTATAATAAAACATTATCATATAGTTTTGAAAGGTTAGATCTCCTTTCTTTTCTTCATTTTCCAAGACACACTCATTAGTACTGTTGCTGAAAAAACTATCCTATGTCCAGTCACACCAAACTCCTTGTTCTCTAGATGTTTATTTCATACTTGCTATTTCCTTTACCAGGAACTCTCTTCCCCTCTAGCTAAAGGCCTCCTACTCTTGCAATACTTAAACCCAGATCAACCCCTTTTGGAAGCTTTTCCTGAATTGCACAGGTGGAATTTGGGGCTCTTTC